ACTTTGATAATCCCCCACACCCCACAACTGCATAAAAATAATTTAGATGGAGAAACTCCAGGAGGAGAACTATCACCATAGATAACAATATTATAATGTGAACTAGGTATGGTAGGCAGGGATGTGGCTCAGTCTATTAATATTCTTCTCTGTGTCCCACTATTTCTGTGTGGCCCAACAAATTATTTGTTTACCAAACATTTAATCTTTCATAGTCCTTTGAAACCTCAGACTCCTCACCTCTTGCCCTTGATTGAGGATAACATATATACTTCATTTTCCCTGACTGTCTCTATTATTTGTCTATAGTTTCCCCTTAGGTATATAATTAAATTTGTTTTTTCCTCCTGTCTCTTTTCAATTTGATTCTTAGACCAGCTTGAAGAACCTTGAAAGGTAGAGGAAATTTCTTCCTCCCAACACCCCTATGGACAGTGCACAGGTTAAAGGCAGATGGATCAGGACTGAGACGGGTGGGAGTCCTCTCACTATTGAGGGAGCCCCAGCAAAAGGCTCAGGCAGTTTTATGGACCCTAAAGTCAGGAGAAGGGTAATGGGGAAGGGTTTGGAGTAAAAAAGTACTGGGTATTGGATCTGAGTGGGGAAAACTGTTTTCTAGGTTTTCCTCTACTCTCCCTGTAGGAAGGTGATGCAAGTGGGTCAGGAAGTATAGATCTGCAGGGTGGTGGAGTAATGAAATTAACACTTATGGTTGCACAAATCACAGTTTATTTTGCAATTTCCTTTCACACAACACTCAAAGGGGGAATCACACATATCTGAAAATCACACATGTCACAGATCAGTACCTCTCATACTGGTCATGATGGATGGTTCGAGTTCAGGCTGTCCCAGTCAGCCTTTGTCTTTCCCAAGGGGAAGGAGATGCAGCTGAGACAGTTCAGTAGAGTGACAAATCTGTGACAGAGCAGGAGCATGAGCAGATGAGCAAGAGCCAGCCTCAGAGCACACGTCTGTCATCTAGTGTTGGGGACCTCTGAGATGAGCTTGCCACAGGGGCTCTGTGTCTGGCCCCTTATATAGTCCAGTCCATCCATCTGGGGGTTGGAAATAAGAGGGGACAGTCCACATGTGGTGTTGTCCAGCTTGAGCATTCACTGGCATGCCTGACATATGGAGTTATCTGGTTTGGGCTTTCACAAGCATGCCTTTTAGGGTGGGGTATGTTTACAGAGGCAGACAGCAGCGAAAGCAGGTAAGCCTGTCATAAAGAACTCCATATTGGAAGCCTGACAGAAGCAACTCCATATTGGATGCTCACATCAGAAGGCCTCTTCAGAGGTGCCTGAAAAGGATCTGACCCAGGGCCTCAGACAAAGAGATCTAGAAATGAAGATATCTGGGTTAGGGATGCAAATATTCAAAGATCATGACCAGCCAGGGGGGTCTGAGTCCTTGAGTACAACTCCCTTTAAGATACTGCAATGCTTTGTCTGTATACCAAGTCTCATATATATATATGTGTATATATATATATATATATATATATATGTATGATTTTTTGAGCCTGAAAAATCACAGAGGTTTATAACCAGAAGCTGGACTCCTCACCATGGTAAAGACAGTCTATATATTATGATGTAGACAGTGGAAAAGTAGGAGCAATTTTGAAATGTGGAAGTTGCATGATTAGATAAAAGCTTCAGGAAAACAACCCTTACAACAATGTGAAAATTTACTAACTGGGGAGTGTTATAGACAAGAAGAATGGTTAAAGTATGTACTTTTAAACCTTGGGAAGACCCTTTGTCCAGTGAAGAAGAGCCCCTCCCCCACAACAACACCCCCAGAAATTCTGAAGGCACTTACTTGTCACTGAGTCATTAGATCTAAGTATTCTAAGCCACCATTTTTTCAACTTCTTTTGGTTAAGTAACAGGACACTTAGAATTCCATAATGGGTTTGCTTCTTTGCCCAGGTCCATGCTTGTTGCTGCCTCCTCTTTTTTATTAATTATGGTTGAGAAGTGGAGATTGGGGTCCAGACGGCTTGTGTATTTATTAAAGATTCCTATGTAATATTTATTTCTTGAACATCCCAGAGCTCCTTTTAATACCTGACATGAGAAAGTAGTGTCAGGAGAGTTTTTGTATAATATCAGGACTCTTGAGATCCATTGTACAACTGGCTTTCTAGAAACTTGTTTTAGCAGTTGACATTATTAAAAGTATTTGGATCAGGATACTGTATTTTAAAAAGTAGCAATGTTATAAATGCTACAACCTAATTTATCATGAATCAGTGTGTTTAATCCTGAGTTGATATACTTATACATATATTCATATTTGAAGAAATATTATTAATGACTGGTAATAGTCTAAAAGTGTATCATATGATTTGGAAATTGCTATGGTAACTTGTTTTCTTGGAAAATCCAATAGATGTGTGGAAGCCTTTAGTGGTTGTTTATCAGCTATTGGAGAAATAGTGCTGCATCCTATTTTTTAAAAGGTCTGTTTATTCATTGACTTTATAACAAATTATCAGACATTTTTCAGTATGAAATATTTTCAATTAGCATCACTTGAAAATGCAAAGCATTAGTAATTAATGTCAGTAAAAAGCAATATTAGAAAATCATATTTTCCCCAGTTATTTATAAAATATTTCATGTTAAAATATTTTTGCATGAGTAAGTCTGAAAAGATAGAAACTATGTAATATACAATCCTCCCCACCCTCCACAAAGGTAGAAAGCTATTCTCTGATTGCAGTTATTGTCAGGGTCATACTAAACTGTAGCCAAGATAAAATACAGTTTGGGTTACATCGGGTAACTTTTGATACATAGCAAAGTATCTCCAAATTTAATGGCTTAAACCACAGTCATTTGTCACCTAATAATTCTCTGGTTTATGAACTCAGTCTGAGCTTATTAGGGTCATTCCTCTGCTGGTATTGCCTAGCTCATTTGTGCAGCTGTAGGTAGCTGCTAGGTGAGCTGGGGGCTTGTTAAGGGACCTCAATAATGTGTTTTATAGTTGCCTTGAGCTATTTCACAGGGTGAATACCTTTCAAAAGCCACAAGAGAGGACAGGTCCTAAAAGAAAACACTCTTCCTCTCCTTATTACATTCGATATGGTCCCATTGGTCAAAGCCAGTCACATGACCAATCTCAAAGTCTGTGGGAAGAAGTGCTTCAAAGCATAAATGCAAGAAGCAGGGGTATGATGGCCTTCATGCAAATAATTTGTCTTATTTCACTCTCTGGCTGCAGTAATTACATCTCTTTCATAAGGAAAATAGACTCGCCTTGCTCTAGAAGTTGAATCTCATAATTTTATCATTTAAATCAAGTCCAGATGCAGATGAGATTCTTGGATGAGGCTCCTCGGTGAGTTTTTCAGGTGTGGCTACATTTCACATGGTGACTTATTGTTGAAACACCAGTCAAACAACTTTATGACGGCGCAGCCCTTAATGTAGCAGAACTTTCAAATTTCTCCTTAAGGTATATTTGCTAAAGTCCCATTGCCCAAAGACCACATGAACAAACCCAGAATTAATGTAAGAGATGACTCTCCAAAAATGAAAATAACCAAGAGTAAGTTATGTTAACAATTTTACAAACACTTGCCATGGTGAAGGAAAAGTAGAGGAAATCAATGGAGTAAAATCATGATCTTGGGAGACTGTATTGTGAGGATCTTACGTATTATCATTTTAATGCATTTAAGATATTTTTACACACTTTAGATTTCTATAAGTAGCCTTAAAAATAAACAAATTGAATCTATATTTTCAAGGGGAATTTTTAGATGGAAAAGAACACCGCTTTTTCAGTATTGTGTGATGGGAGATTTACCTTCTTTGAATATTATTATTTCTTGCTGACCTCTTGTATTATTGCATAGCTTCAGTGACACTGTATGTTACATTTAGTGGAAATATTCTCCCAAATAGTTTTTTTTTTCATTTTAAGAGACCAAGTGACATTTATTGATCAAAAATAACTAAAATAATAATTGCAAAGTAATTGCAAAATATTCCTTGTCCTAGTTATTCAATAACCCTACTTCAAATGCATATTTTCTCAAAATTCTTGTTTAAAAAATGACAGTTAAAATGAGTATTTCCTATCATTCTAATTAAATCCTTAGAGTTATAAAATTATTGATATAATTATCAATAATGAAACAGTTACATGTATTTATATTTATATTCATAAACTAAATCTATGGAACACTCATACAATTTCAACTACTTGATATTCTTAATAACTCCGAGGAAACTCTGACTCAGAAAACTTAAACGATGTTCCTTAGGGTATTTGAACGCTGCTCTTTTTTTTTTGTCTGTTATCATTAATCTACAATTACATGAAGAACATTATGTTTACTAGGCTCTTCCCTACCCCAAGTCCCCCCCACAAACCCC